CTATGGGCTCGGAGCTCACGGCTAACCCTTTCCACCCCACCTCCAAACAGTTTATGAACCAATGCATAAGAACCATGCATGCGACCTGGCTTTCGGATATTCCAGACCCACACAACATTCCCAGTCACACAGCGGAATGTCCTCAGGGTTGCAAGGCAAGGACAGAAGCAGCAGGCCATCAGAATGACAGTAATGGTGTCTTCTGTTGCTCTGTGAAGTGTGTGGCCAGAACCAAATGCCAGCCGAGCCCTGAGATACAGCACAGGAATGGCGAGAGGGGAGCAGCCGCCCACTGGCGTTGGGTTTTACCCACCCATACTCACTAAGTGTGGGTTGAATGGAGTTCTTGCCCTGCCATCTGACATCTAGCTTTGAGAACACAAAATGATGGTTTGAGGATGAGTTTTTAGTTGTTTGTTTGTGTAACATCCAGACTGAATCCTCTCCTTCAAAGGATGAATTTTTTAAGTTAGTGGAGAGGGACAGAAAAAGCTTGGAGACTAGGAGGTGGTACCCAAGGAGGAGCTGTTACTAAGGCACACTTCATCGCTACACAGCGACCCTCTGCCAGTGTGAGAGTGCCATGCACACATGTCCCTGCTCATTCATTCATTCATTCAATGTTTATTGATGCTGACTTGTCTCTGCTCTCATGGAGTTTACCTTCTAGAAAGAGAGATGTCAAGTGTGATGATGTCAAATGAAGATAATAGACACAGAGGTTGATAAGACTACAGAGTGGCAGGGATCTTGTTGGCAAGACTTGAAAGAATTAGTGAACAAGTTGACGGAGTGTTCATGCAAAGAGCAGCCTGGGTGGAGGTGGGAGCCAATGAAGAGACGGCGTGGCTGAAAAATTGTAGACTCCGGGAACACAGGTCTAAACTAAGCGGGTAGCCTCCTTCCCTTTCCTGGCTTGGGTCCCTCTCTTTCTCATAAAAATCACAGATTGGACTCCTTGGGTTCCTCTGAGCATGTAACACCTTCCCCGCACAAAGGATGAGGCATGGGAGATAGAGGGTTAGGGATGAATGAATGAATGAATGAATGAATGAATGAATGAATGAGCTTGTATAAATAAGGAGAGGCAAAAATCCCCCCACTGTAACAATGCAAGAGCTGGTGAATATCTGTGAGAATGAGTGCAGGGGCATTCTGGGTAAATGAAAGGCTTGGGGTGGAGGGGGGTGGGAGGGAGAGAAGGTCTGTGGTGAGGGGGCTGTGGTGGGGAGGGGGCTGTGGGGAGGGGGCTGTGGGGAGGGGCTGTGGTGGGGGGGGGCTGTGGTGGGGGTGGGTGGGGAGGGGGCTGTGGGGAGGGGGCTGTGGGGAGGGGGCTGTGGGGAGGGGCTGTGGGGAGGGGTGGTGGTGGTGGAGAGGGGGCTGTGGGGGGGGGGGCTGTGGTGGGGAGGGGGCTGTGGTGGGGAGGGGGCTGTGGGGAGGGGGCTGTGGTGAGGGGCTGTGGGGAGGGGCGTGGGGGTGGGGAGGGGGCTGTGGGGAGGGGGCTGTGGTGGTGGAGAGGGGGCTGTGGGGAGGGGGCTGTGGGGAGGGGGCTGTGGGGAGGGGGCTGTGGGGAGGGGGCTGTGGGGAGGGGGCTGTGGTGGGGAGGGGGGTGGTGAGGGGGCTGTGGTGGGGGAGGGGGCTGTGGTGAGGGGGCTGTGGTGGGGAGGGGGCTGTGGTGAGGGGGCTGTGGTGGTGGAGAGGGGGCTGTGGGGAGGGGGCTGTGGGGAGGGGGCTGTGGGGAGGGGGCTGTGGGGAGGGGGCTGTGGGGAGGGGGCTGTGGTGGTGGAGAGGGGGCTGTGGTGGGGAGGGGGCTGTGGGGAGGGGGCTGTGGTGGTGGAGAGGGGGCTGTGGTGGGGGGGGCTGTGGTGGGGGGCTGTGGGGGGGGGCTGTGGTGAAGGGGCTGTGGTGGGGAGGGGGCTGTGGTGAGGGGGCTGTGGGGAGGGGGCTGTGGTGAAGGGGCTGTGGGGAGGGGGCTGTGGGGAGGGGGCTGTGGGGGTGGGGAGGGGGCTGTGGTGGGGAGGGGGCTGTGGTGAGGGGGCTGTGGTGGTGGTGAGGGGGGATTCGGCTCCTGGCAGGGGCAGGAGTGGAAATGAAAAGACAGAGAGCAGCAATGGGGCCTCGTCACCTCAGCACCCTTCAAAGTGAGGGAAAAGCACATGCATGGCCACATCTAAAATTGTAACAGGCATAATTTAGAGACTGTGAGTCCTACACTGCCCAACTCTAAAGGCTGCTGGGTATGGTGGCGCTCACCTTTAATCCCAGCATTTGAGAGGCAGAGGCAGGCAGATCTCGGCGAATCTGAGCAGAGCCTGGTCTACAGATGAGTTCTAGGACAGCCAGAGCTAGACAGTGAGACCCTGATTTAAAGAAAAGAACTTAAGCTGAGGTCAACCAGACCACCAGTCAAAGCACTTGCTTCCAAGCCTAGGGACATGAGTTCAGTTCCAGAAAACCATATGGTAAAAAGAAAGTCAATTCCCACAGGTGTCCTCTGACTCTTACATCACCGCTGTGGCACGCCCACGCCCACCGTCTCTGTCTCTGTCTCTGTCTCTCTCTCTCACACACACATATACACATTTTTTTAATGTGCAATAAACCTTATTTGAAGAAGCATTGTCTTAGCTTCTTATTCCAGCTTGAAGGCCATTGCCTGGAAGGCTCAGATGAACTTAATAACCACAGACACTCATGGAAATTTGTGAACTGTCTTGTTGTTGTTAGGGTTATTTATTTTGTGTGCATGAATTTCTGAGCATTTTGCCTGCATGGATATATGTGCACTGTGCATACAGGGAGGACAGAAGAGGCGTTGGATATGCTGCGACTGGATTAACAAATGCTTGTGAGCAATAATGTGGGTACTACGAATTGAACCTAAGTCCTCTGCAAGAGCAGAGGATAAGACAAAAGCTGAACCACTGAGCCGTCTCCAGCCAGGGTATGTGGTTTTGAATCTTGGCGTTAATGTCCAGTTACATAGTTTCTCCCTGAGCAATTTTCAGACTGAAGTTAGAGTCTGTGGGAGATTAAGTTCTGAAGGCATAGAGGGCAGTCCCACCTCTCATGAAGCTTTATCTCAAAGTGTGTGCGTGTGTGTGCACGTGTGTGTGTGCGTGTGTGTGTGTGTGTGTGTACACATGCATGAGTGTGCATATGCACGTCTGTGTGCACATGCACTTGGCATTCACACATGCATGTGGGGCTCTCTGGGGAAGAAAGGGAGGTAATAAAGAGATTTATCTGAGGGGCTAGAAAGACGGGAAATAACTGCAGTCCCCTGCAACTTAACCCTGTAACAGTATCAGAGGTGAACCGACAGGCATGCCAGCAAGACGCCTTTATTACTTACTTGCCTTATTTGAACTGAGCCCATATTTCTATTTAATTGCTTCTCTCGTTTTCTTGGGCAATAATTATAAGACTAACTTTTCAAATAAAATAAAATTGCCCCTCTGCACTACACAGGCAGTTACGGGACAGGTTAGGGCAAGTTTTCCCAGTCCTTTGTCCCAGTCTCGGGGTTTCAGAACACTGGATCAGATTAGGAAGCCAGTTCTTGACCTAGCACATGTACTAATTTCAAGGACAACTCACCTGTCACGGTAGACCCTTCTCCCTGCTTCAGTTTCCTGTGTGTCTCTCCACCCACCCGAGCCCTCTGTGAGCGGGGGTGAGGGAAATGAGGAATGGAGTCGCTTACCCACTCAACGGGGTATAATAAGATTTGGTTTCAAAACATCCTCTGGTGACTCGAACCTAGTCACTAGCTAATCTCTGCCGGTGGTCCAGGGAGCTATCAAGGGTGCTGTGATGAGAAAAACTACAAAAGCCCTTGTTCCATTGTGTAAGAAATGAAAACAAATGTCCTTTTACTGGCTTAGTGCTCTGTGATGCCCACTGAAAATCTGCCTCCTGCCTACATTCACTGGGACCACAGCCTTAGTCTAAAGAAGGAGTTATGACCATAAATATGAGAAAAGTATTTTTATGCACATAACGTTGCAAAGTCCACGCATTACTAAACTTTTGAGAAATTTCTGGGAATTTTGAATTCTATTTCCCTGTTTCTCCTATTCTTCTATGGCTAATCTGCACAAATTCCATCTCTCGGGGCCCTATGCCCCCTGGCCTTGGGTTCGATCTAGCCAGTGAGGGGTCCAGGCAGGGAACTCAGAAGGCCTGGGCACTTCTCCAGGTTGGCACTGAGCTTGTAGCTGGCAGCAGTTCCTCTGGGGTTCCACCTCCCAATGGAAAACGACTTCCTCTGTGGTCCCAGCTCCCCCTGGGTGGCTCCCTTTTGATTCTCCAGCTCCTCAGACACTATCTGGATTGTCTCCCAATACTCCATCCTTCCCAACCTTGGCAAGGAACTACTTGACTCCTTGGCATGGTGTCTGCCTTTCTGTTTGGACCCTGGTAGATGGTGCTGCTGTTCGGAAGCAGACATGGCATTAGGGGTATACAATAGGAGCTCCAGTGGCGTAATCTGTTAGCGCGAGGTACTTACTTATACAGGAGTATACAATAAACCTGATAGCCTCATTACTTCTTGGCTGGCAAGGTCTCTCTCAGACAGACCTTTTCCTGACCACCTACTTCTTGAAGTAGGTGTATATGGAAATGAAAGGGACTTGGGACAGAGCTGTAGACAACAGGTCACTATAGAGTCACAAAACACCCCACCCCCCTTTCTCAAGGAGTCTTGAGCCTCATGGGCCTGAGTTTTATCCTTACTGCCAGTTTGGCTCACACACGGGGCATGGAAATGTTTTAGAAACGGGCATAGTTGTTGCAAATGCATACTATATAAGATCTAATGGAACACATACTATATAAGATCTAATGGAAGAGAAATGCTTTGTTCTCTGCTCAGCCTGACTGATTTTAGCCTGATCTATGTGCTAACTGTGTCATCATGGGAAGCATGCACAATCACTGTACTGGGCTCCACTTGGCAGCCTGCCAGCTTGCCAGAGCCTAGTCAGGCAACTTACCAATGTCGAGGACCCTTTGCTTGGCCGTGTGCTGCCGGGAATGCCAGTATTTCCAGTATTTCAGCTGTTCGTCTCGGTTTTTGTCTTCACTGAAGACCACCATCACCACGCTCTGCAGGAGAGGACAGTAGCCATTACCCACTGTTCAGCATCCCATGATCTCACACAGTCTCCAGTCCTGGTAACTCTGCCACAGGTACATTTCTAGAATGTACCTTTTATTGTTTAAGAAAAGTACACAAAGGGCCAGGCATGGTGGGGCTCTGGCCTTTAAATCCCAGCACTTGGGGCAGAGGCAGAGGCAGAGGCAGAGGCAGAGGCAGAGGCAGAGGCAGAGGCAGAGGCAGAGGCAGGCAGATTTCTGAGTTTGAGGCCAGCCCGGTGTACAGTGAATTCTAGGACAACAAGGGCAGAACAGAGAAACCCTGCCTCAAAAAAAAAAAAGAAAGAAGGAGAATAAGTCATCCAGAGAATAGGGGCAAGCAGATGCCTCAGTGAATTCAGGTGTTTGTTGCCAAGCCTGGTGTCCTGAATTAGATCTTAAGAGACCCACAGGGTGGAAGGAGGAAACCAACTCCCAAGTTATCCTCTGACCAACACTTGGACATGCATGTGCATACCCAAACTAGAAACAGCACAGAGTCCTTTATCCTCCTTAACGAATTGTCATAAACAATCAGATGAAGCAATCAGATGAAGTTTATTATTTTGTGTGGTTAGCTAGAACACCAAAACACACTTGGTTTGCACTGGGAATAAAGTCTGAATCCTCTGTCTTAAATGGAATTGGGACGGTAAGAAGCAGACATCCTAGGGAATGCCTCAGGCTGGAGTGGAGCAGGTAATGAGGGGATTACACAGGAAATACAGAAATGCTAGGTGACAAACTCATATTGACAAGAGATTTAAAGCCTCTGATAATTTATAACCCAAAAGTACAAGGGCAGCTATACACCTCAATCAAATATGGCTGTCCTTTACATGAGCTAGAGAAACTATTCTATTTCACAGAAATAAAAATCCAAACCTCTTCAGTTCTCAGTTGGAAACAGCCCACATTAAACTAAATTTATATATTCAATGTCATTTACAGAATGCAGACAGCAATGTCCCTGTCTCAGCCTCTGGAGTAATGGTTCAGAACACATTTTCAGCCAAAATGGAACAAAAGGAGATAAAAATGTCCATTTTAATCAGTTTTTTGGGGGAGGATAGGGGGTTGTTTTTTGGCTTTGTTGGCTTTTTAAGACAGGTTTTTTCTGTGTAACAGCCCTGCCTATCATGGAGCTCAATATATAGACCAGGTTGTTCTCAAACTTGAAATTTCAGAGATCCGCCTGCCTCTGCCTCCCCAGTGCTGGGAATAAAAGCATGGGCCATCAAACCCAGCATAAAATTTCCAAATCCTAATGAAGTGAACTGTTGGGAAAGTCCAAACTCTTGTCCCACCCTTAGATGACTGCCACCTTTGCAGAGTGTTCATATGGTTCTGTGTGAAACTCATGTACAAATGAATAAACTCTTACCTGGGATTTACGATATTTTAAAAGAAAAACAAATGCATTCCTGGCATTCTTCCCAGACACCATGTCTGGATGCAGACCCCCTGGGAGAAAAGTCTCTGCTTTTCATCCCTTTGGGAAACTCCATGGAGCAGTTTCTAGTTGTAGCTGGCTTTCTTGGCGGTGCAGGGGATGGAGCCCAACCTCACATACACTAGAACTAGACAACCCCAGCACAATGCAACACCTTTATGCTTATAAGAGCTGGAGTCAGGAAGCTGGCATCTATGCCCAGGGGCTCCCTGCCTTAGCTGTCCTCAAGTTTTTACCTGTGGCTTTGGAGGCTGTCCTGGAACTAGCTCTTATAGACCAGGCTGGTCTACAAGCCTGCCTCTACCACCTGGGTGCTGGGATTAAAGGTGCGCGCCACCTCTGCCCGACAAGCCAAGTTTTCTTATGTGTAATATTATAATAGTACGATATTGGGGGTTGCTTTTTACTCTTTGGCTTTTGTGGGGCCTTTTGAAGGACCACCACCCAGCTCCCAAATAAATCACGCAGGAGTCTTTTTGTTACTTATGAATGCCCAGCCTTAGCTTAGCTGGTTTCTAGCCAGCTTTTCTTATCTTACATTAACCCATCTACCTTTTCCCTCTGGGCTTTTATCTTTTCCACGTCTGTGTATCTTGCTTTCCTTCTTGCTCTGTGGCTGGCTGGGGGGCTAGCTCCTGCTCCTCTTTCCTTTTCCCCGTTTCTCCTTCTATTATCCTCTCAGACTGCAGCCCTGCCTATCCTTGCTCCTGCCTTGCTCAGCTCATTATTAGACATCAGGCACAGTATCACAGCTCCAGAGTTAAACAAATGCAGCATAAACAAAAGCCATATACCTTAAAATAATATTCTACCACAATATATGATATTGTTGTTGTTACTATGGGTTGTGACTAGTTTCAATAAATCATTGCATATGCAGGGCCTAGCGCAGTCCCTCACACAAGGAAGACACTATCGCTCTGTAGCTTGTTTGATGCAGTGTGTCCTCCGCCGTGGTCCTGGCCATAGGGTTGGGACATGCTAATGTCCTGGGCACTTCCTCCAAAGGACTCGCCGTGCATGAGAACCTGGCAGGCATGTGGTGGATGCATTGTGCTCTAGACGTGCTATGGGTCCCTATGTCTCAACCTAAAAAGCTCAGCAGGACAGAATATGGTGAGCGGAGACTGCAGGCACAGCAGCATGAAGCAGTTTATAAGAGACCAGGAAAATCTATTCTGCAACAAACCAGAGTCCTCCAGTCCTTTTCAAGCCTGCAGTAACTTCCCTCCCCGCCCTGTTGGCAGTGGTGGGCACGCCAGGGACTGGCAGGCTCCCAAAACAGACAGTGAAGGCTCCAATGTCGTTTCCCACAAACGTGATTAATGTGAATAAATCTGAAATCCCTCCAAGCTACTGCTGGTGGGGATCGGGCATCGTCTCGTGAATCCTGGGTAAGCTGGGTGCTGCAGAAGGCTCTAGAAGGATTGTAAATGGTCCTGGGCTCAGCGGGAAGTACGCCCACAAACAAATCCTGATTTACAGGTGAACTACAAACAACTACACACCCAACAAGCTGTGAACCAGGTAAGAGGAATTCCTTGGATACAGTGAAAAGGCATGTTCAACCAAGTTGCTCCCCTGGGGTTTACCAGTTACTGATTAAAATGAAAACCGGGAGCCAATAGGCTCTCTTGCACCAAACTTTCTGAGTTAATTATTTTGGGATCCCCCCCGCCCCGTGCCATTGCAGGAGGATATGAGGGAGTAATTCCACCCCACTGGTCACCCATCCTTTTATTCTGAGAAATGTGGCCATACCCTGACTTTGCTGATGGGGTGTCGGAAGCATTTGTTGTCTCCAGTCTCACTGAGTGTTATGGCATAGAACTGTCCTTTGTTGAGGTAGGTCATGGGGCCCTCACCCTGCTTCTGACGGAGAGATTTGGTGGCTTCCAGGGTGTACTGAAATGTACCACTGGGAAGAGAACACAAAGAGCAGCTGCTTACTGACTTGAACATTCCTGCCTCCCGAACAGTTTCACATCCACAGAATTGTGTACAAACACTAAACAAATATTTCCTCTACCTTAGGCAAAATGCAGAATACAGCAGCAGAAATGAGTCCAGACCAAGGATCAGTGCTGTGCAATATACACAGCATTTTTAACCATGGCTCATAAACCAGATGGTTTAAGTGGGGAGAACGTCTAGGATCTGCTGGGCAACTAATGCCAGAGAAGCATAGGCAGCCCCTGGGACGTTCAGCTCAAGAACGTGTCCAATATTAGTGCTTCTCTCCAGCTTATGTATTTGCCAGTTTTCTTCATCTCCAGCCACAACTTACCTAAAAATATTTCACAAAACCCCAAATTCAGACATTCACTGGTGAGCATCACATTCCCTCCCTACCAGGGGGGTGTTTTCCTCTCTTGTTTGTTTTGCGATAAAGGGAATTGACCCTGTGACCTCCTAAGTTCCAGGCCAGCGTCCTATCACTGAGCTATGTACATCCTTGGCCCTGTTGTGTTTCACTTTGAGAATGGGTCTGGCTGTGGGTTGTGCTGCCCTGGAACTTGGTTGTGATCTTCTGCCTCAAACTTCTGAGCAGCTGTCATCATGGGCGTGTGCCACAAAAACTGGCCTGCTTCCTGTGTACAGACCTGCAGAAGGATTCGGGGTGAGGCTACTCCAAATCAAGCTTGCAGGCTAGTGGCTTGTGACAACTGGTTTACTGCCTGCTTTTGCAAATAAAGTTTTATTGGGACAGCAGAGGCTGATGTTTACTGTATAGCTCATTGTAGATAGAGCTGCAGGTCTCTGCTCAGAATTTCTCAGATAGTTTTTAAGATATAGTCTATAAAACAAAAAAATGGGTTTTTTTCCCCACAATCAGAAGACCATATTGATTGTTCAAAATTTACATAATAGGTATGAATCACATCTTTTTTATTTGATTTGTTCTTCTAAAAATGCTTGTTTTGGTTGCACTGTGGGATAAGCCACAGAAGGGGGTTTTTAAGAAACTCTACGTTGTGACTCACTGGTTAGTCCCTCTCCACTGGCTTCAGTTAGTTAGTCAGCCCACTCATCCCTCCAAAAGGTTTGAGGCACAGGTGACTCAAATGCGACCTCTTCAAATGCCCCACTTACAGGATTGGATTGGAGGAGCTCCCCTCTCTATGGTAGACACTTTTGAAATGTTTTATTTATGTTTTAACTTTTAGAGTAAGAAATCATTTTATATATATATATATGCATGCCTTTTACTTGATGAAAATCTAAGGACTGGAGCTGAAGGGATGGTTCAGTGGTTAGGAGCCCTACTCTTCGAGGACACAGGTTTGGTTCCCAGCACCCACCTGACAGCTCACAACCATCTGTAACTCCAGTTTCCTCTTCTTCTGGCCCCTCCAGGAACCAGGCACACATGTGGTGCACAGGCATACATGCAGGCCAGACGCCTTGCACATAAAATAATAGAATAAAACATTTAAAAAGCGATCAGTGAGTGGTGTGCACTCCCTGCTGACCTACCTTGCTGTCTGGTCATACATATACTCTTCAGCACCAACAGAAGCACTCCGGAATTTCTGAAAATATAATATAAATTGTAGGATTATAACAAATATGCTGAGAATGCATGTAAACATTTTTAAAAATGTAAATAACAATCTAGCAGTAACCATAGTAAACAATAATGTAGTGGTAACAATATTGGTTACCATTCCATCATCCTGGGGAGGGGAAATTGTTATGTTTCCAGATTATCTACAGGTATCCTATGTCTTCATAGAAACCTTTTTTTTTTTTTTCAATTTTCTGTTGTCTCTAACACTTTATTTTAAATGTTTGTTACAAATTCAAAATTAATGGAAGACCGATTACAGAGACAAAATGACAGAGCAAAAGGCAGGCTAATGAAGTTATTACAAGCATAGTTTCTAGAGTAGGACCATCAAGGATCATGTTTTAACTTATTTACCTGACACTTCCATTAAATTGTGTGGCATTTTCTCTGTTAAATTTCTACTTATAAGCCTGGTGCTGGTGAGTCCAGCCTGGTCTACAGAGCCAGTTCCAAGACAACTGAGCTACACAGAGAAACCCTATCCCTTCCAAAAAAAGTCTACTCGAGGAATGTGATCACATTAGACAGACTAGCAAAGTATTAGAAGCATGATCGGTTACAGCATGAACATTTTATGTGTATTAGATCCAAGTAGATAGTAACATGTTGACTGTATCCAGGGTCCTAAGCACCTAGGAGATTTTTCAGAGTAGATTTTGGGAGGAGGCTCTAAGGTTAGAGTTGCACAAACAGCAACCTGGGTCCTAGTATGGGAGTGTGTGTGTGTGTGTGTGTGTGTGTGTGTGTGTGTGTGTACATTGCTACATTTAGACAGTTTCAAATTTTAATGCCAGCATGTGAAGGCTCTTGCCCAAGCCTGAGGACCTGAGTTTGATACCCAGAACCCACACAGTGGAAGAAGACAGACATCTGTACATTTTCCTCTGACCCACATGATATGGGCCACGCTCACATACAAGAACACACACACATATATACATACATACACACTGATACATATATACATACACACACTTAGAAAACATCACTATCAGTTATATGGTCCCTTGGTAGGGTTCATGGATCTGGATGATTGAGGAGTGAGAATAGAACCGGAATGATTAATTAGGGCTTGCTGGCCTCAGTTGTCAAAGTCCTCCACTCCTCACAAACCTCGTGGTACTACTTACCAGCGTGACAAAAAGGCTAGCAGACTCAGATCACTGCACCTCGCCACAACTTCATGCAAAGCATCTTCAGATCTCTTACTCATCTGGACTCAGTAAAGAAAGGGTGTGATATTGTGTGTACAAACCACACATAAGGGCAGGCCCCGTGCCAGGCCAAAAACAAACTCAAGGGTATTTGGGGAGACTTTTTGTTTGTTTCATGCTTTGTCTAGGCAATTTTTTCACCCTAACGGCCCTTTGCTTATATATCATGGTTTTCACTTTGGTATTTTTATAGAGTGTGTGTGTGTGTGTGTGTGTGTGTGTGTGTGTGTGTGTGTGCGCGCGCACGCACTCACTTCTCCTGCTTTTCCTTTGGATTTTGGTCCCTCTGTTTATTTGTTTCATTTGTTTGTTTGTTTGTATTTACTTTCTTTCTTCCTTCCTTCCTTTTAAAGATCCATTTGTTTATTATGCATAGTGTTCTGTCTGCATGTGTCCCTGCCCACCAGAGCTCACTACAGATGATTGTGAGCCACCATGTGGTTGCCAGGAACTGAACTCAGGACCTCTGGAAAAGCAGCAGCCAATGCTCTTAACCTCTCAGCCATCTCTCCAGCCCTGTCCATTTGCTTTCTAAAGAAGAGAAAAGTCATGGCGTTGAATGGGTGGGGAGGTAGGGAGGAAAATCATGATCAGAACATACTGTATGAAAAAGATGTTCAATTAAAAAGTGTGATATCATATATTAGATCCTTACACACCAGCATGTTTAAAATATGTACTAGCATTATTCTAGTTTTGTTCTTGAGGTGTCTGATATAAAGACATCTGCTAAGACTACACCATAAGGAGACAAGGATTCTTTATCTGTCTGTGAGGAAATCTGATACGGCTAAACAAAGCTGTCTTTCCTCACTGACCACTGGTTTCAGCTTTATCTTTCACGCAATCATCTTCTTGGCTATGCTGAAAAAGCTCGTCACACCAGCTGGAAACAAGACCAGAGCAGGTCCCATTTTCATGAATGTTTTTAGGCTAGTAGGGGAGGGAGAGCATTCATCAGACTTATGCAAAAATAATAGTAATAATAGTAATAGCTGGGATGTTGTACACCTTTAATCCCTGCACTCAGGAGGTAGAAGCAGGCAGATATCCCTGAGTTCAGGGCCAGCCTGGTCTATAGAGTGAGTTCCAGCCCAACCAGGACTATTACATAGAGAAACCTTGTCTTGAAAAACCAATAATAATAACAACAACAACAACAACAATAATAATAATAATAACACTTATGCAAGGCTAGGATGTCTCACTCAGTGGTAGCGCACTCAGCAAGTATAGGGAAAAGTTCAATGTCCATTGCAAATGGTTCTATCACTGTGATAGAGCATGTTCCCTGAGAACCCAGGCTACTTCCTGACTCCCTAGAGGTAGTATACTCCAGTGTACCACAAACAAGGTTGACAAATAAGGCACCATCCTCCGCTGTACCCCACAATGGCACAGCTACCAAAGGCAGCTGTGGCTCCTCTGACTGATGTAGCTTTCTGAGCAAAGACACCCTTGGCTGGCCACGTGGGACTCCAGAACAATGATTATGATGATGTCCCAGGGTTACTTTTGACAAGATCCAACCCAAACTGCCCTCTTCCCTCCTGTTCTCTCCAGTGACAAATGAATGTGGTCAATTCAGCCAGAGTCCCAGACATTTCTGGAGTTTTCTGAAAAGAAGTACTAGGTTTTAGAAAAGTTTTCAACTTCACAATCACACTTACAACTACCTCAGCAAGGAGATTGCTAAGGATCCCAGATTCATAGATCTGTGGTCTACACCACAGATCACAGATTCACAGATCATTCAATTCCACTCACAACACCTGCAAGGCAAACTCTGATTTCTCCAAGGCTGGCTGGAGTGAGCAGCACTTCCCTTTCCCATCCAGCGAGTTTGCTAACTCAACAGCTCCAAAAAGCCCCCAGTACAACAGCTTCCTTCACAACCTTCTTTATCTAAACCACCCACACACACACACATACACACACACACCTAATAACATATCCCCCAAACAGTGTGACAGTTCCCTGGTCCACAGCCGTATACTCTTCTATGACTAACATATCTCTACACCAACGGCAATCCACCCAGAAAACACAATGGGCTTCCCATGGGACTGAACGATGGCTTCAGCTATTTGCTTTTCCCCAACAGCACCCCTGAGTACTTGGGGGCAAGTCAAGTATTCAGCAGTATCTGACTACAAGATCCCTCACTCAGATTAAAACTACAAAAGGTTGTTGTTGATCTTAAGTGATGTCACATAAACTGATTGGCGGATTTTTTTTTTTTCTCCTTTTTATTACAAGGTCATTAAAAGTCTAGTTGTAAAACTATCAAGTTCAAGGAAATGTGATAACCCCTCGAGGCAGAGAATTGCTTGGCTCTGACTGTGGTCACTCCCTGCTTCGGAGAATGTGACATGTACCCATAAGCATCAAGTACCAGCTGTGGCAGGGTTGCTAGTGTCCCTTTGAGAGCAATTGCTGCTAGCCAAGCTGTTGTGCCTCTGGTCCCTAGCTGAAAGATAAGCAATTTCTATTGGGATAGATAAGGAACATGCAGATTTTAAACAAACATTGGGTGAGTCGCTGTCTTCTGCAATAGAAGTAATGAGAATCTTAAAGCGACACTTCTCCGAGGAGAAAGGGGAGCGGACAGACAATTTGCCTACTTGCTGCAACGCCCAATCCCCCTAACTAAGAAGACACAAATGACAATCTTGAAACGAAATGGTTGTCACTTCGAACGCTGTGGCTGTGGTGTGACTGTGTCCCTTTAATTTCATGTATAAGAACTTGATCCCCAGCACAGGAGCATTGAGACATCGATGGGTCATATAATCTAACCTCCAGTCCTGAGAGTGAGTTCAATATCGTAAGGGCGAGGTTGTCATAAAAGCGGAGTGTATCATCCATCACATGTATGTAGCCCTGTCACGCTTCTGCCATGCAACAATACAGTCATCATGAGCTGTGGCTCATGGCTCTTAGGTGTCTCTACCCCAATGGCATTGAACAGGAAGTCAAATGAGAGCACTCAGCATGTCGCCATTGTACTTGTCTCTCTAGGAAACCAGCAGTCTCTCCACATCCTCCTTTATAGTTCGGAAAAGCTGAAAATAAGACAGCAATGCCATTCATGCTCATCAGAGGCGCTGCTTCTACATGACAAAGCATGTACTCATTGCTCAGTCCAGGTCAAGAACTGGAGAGGTGGCCCTCAGTGATAACCTAAGAGTCCATGGCAAATCAACGGACACAAGAATATCTTCAAAATTAATAGATGGTGCTGTAACAACTAGGTATTAGTATACACATGGGACCCCAAGCTCTTGCTTCATACCATGTCTAAAATGGTCCAGAGACAGCTCAGCAGGTAGGGGCTGACAAGCTGAGTTCAATATCCAAGATCCACATGGTGGAAAGAAAAGGTGACTCTTGAAAGTTGTCCCCTGACCTCCATCTACATGTGCATATGTAAATGAACACACACAGTCACACACCTCAAAAATAATAGTAATTAGACCAGTCAAAGGTGGTATACATCTTTAACACCAGCACTTGGGAGGCCCGAGGCAGAGGTCCACCTGCCTCTGTCCCCCGAATGTTGGGATTAAAGGCGTGGGCCACCAACACCTGGCCTTACATGAAGTTTTAAAGGAAGTGGGGTTGCTGTGACGGAAGCCGATTATCGATTACCAAGAGCCAGGAGAAAGAATGCTTAAGGTCAAGAGGGTTCATTTAGGGTAAAAACTCTGACATTGTAAACAAATACTAAAACTTACTTTTATGCACTTAAGAGTCTAAAACATGTAGATAAAAACAAAAAACAAACAAACAAACAAAAAAGTTGTGCTGTGACTTTTGGGAGGCTAAGGCTGGGACCTCTCTATTCCTTACAAAGCACACACACACACACACACACACACACACACACACACACACATAAACACAATGGATTGTTGACAATGTAACCAACTTCTGGCTAGTTAATCTGACAAAAGTTACATTGTTTCAAAAAGAGAGATCAAGCTTGCAACATTTTTTTTGCCTCTACCATTTAGAAAGTTCCAAAGAGATGAAGGTGAGAACCACACAGCAGTTAGTTCCATGTAAGCTTTTCCTAAGCCCTCATAAATATTTAAGACTTAAACCAAAACAAAATATAACCTAAGAGAAGCTGGAGAGATGGCTCAGCGGTTAAGAGCACTGACCTCTCTTTCAGAGGACCCAGGTTCAATTCCCAGCACCCAGTCTGTAACTCCAATATTTGACACCCTTACAGAAATATATGCAGGCAAAACACCAATGCATCAATGCACATAAAATAAAAATTATTAAAATAGTAGTAACAGACCCCCCAACCCCCCAGACTGAGGAAACCAACATTGGACGGACTCAGACCCCCTGAACGTGGGTCTCAGTTAGAAGGCCTGGGAAGTCTAAGGGACCTCTGTCTGACAGTGGAACCAGGATGTATCCCTGGTGCACAAAAGGACTTTGGGAACACATTCCCTATGGAGGGAGTAATACTCCCTTAGCCTAGAGGCAGGAGGGAGGACCTAGTCCCTACTCCAAATGACTTGACAGATATTGATGATCCTTCCTGGAAGACATCAATCACCCTTCCTAGAGTAGGGGGGTGGGGTGTGGGATGGGAGGGTGGATGGGGAGCATGGGAAGGAGAGGGTGCTGGGGTCGATATGTAAAATAAGAAAAAGTAATAAATATTAAAAAAAATAAAATAGTAGTAACAAGTATAAACTCGATTTCATGCCATCTCTGTAATGGAAAAGGGCCAGTGCCGTGTCCTGGGACTCACCTCCGCGGCCCCCTCTTTGAAGTTCTCACTATAGGTGCTATCAGGGGTGCTGCGCTGGTCGTCCTTGAGATAGGAGCTGTGACTGGCTATGGAGGGCAAGTCATACTGAGTCTGTTCGAAGATGACAACGCGCTGCTCCTCGCCCTCGGCGCGGGGATAGTGCACCGGGGGCCCCATGAACACTGGCGTGAAGTCCTCGGCTTTCACCACGGTGATGCCTGACACTGGGATGACAGCGGGGCTCTCTGTGATGGACACGCTGTACTGCTCACGCTTCGAGTTCTCCACGTGCTCCTGGCTGAGGCAGAGGTTCACCGGGACAGTCTTCAGGACCTGCACTCGGTTCTCGCCTCCGATCAAAGTGCTGTGGGCTTCACTGGTGCCGAGACAGTTTCTGTGTGCCCAGACCCATGACATGATAGAATTAGAGTCAATCTACGCTTCAAAGACCAGATAAAACAACAACCGTTGCAGGCAGCCATCCTGCTAAACTGTGAGGGGAAGGGCTGATAGGAACCCTCACAATGGAGTGTGGTGGATCTCAGCGTCTTTAGAACTAAGACAGCTGTCTATGTGTGCCCTGGGTGGCACCATAAAACACATGGCCCACTCTAAAAAAGGATGTAAAGTGGTCCTAAATTTTACCACGTTTTGACATCTATCTTTTAGCTCTAAAACAGAAGAGGAGGGCTGGAGAGATGGCTCAGTGGTTAAGAACACTGGCTGTTCTTCCAGAGGACCTAGGTTCAATTCCCAGCACCCATATGGCAGCTCACAAATGTCTGTAACTCCAATTCCAATGGATCTGACACCCTCATACAGACACACATGCAGGCAAAACACCAACCAATGCTCATAAAACAAAAATAAATACATAATTTTTAAAAAGAAAAGGAAGAGTTGAGGGACTGAATATCAGAATGGGCCAATAAGACACAACAAGGCAGGTCCCTTACTGACAAGGGAAATTTACCAACATGGCAGAAGAGGGGAAAGGTAAAAGGACAAGTCTAGAGTAAAAACAACTTTTAAAGCCCTACCCGCCAGCCCTGAATGATGGCTCATGCCATTAATACTAGTACTAGAGAGACAGAGGCAGGCAGATCTCTCAATCCAAGGCCAGCCTGGTCTATGTAGCAAGTTCCAGGCCAGCCAGGGTTATAAAATGAAACACTGTCTTAAATAAATAAATAAACAAGATCTGAACATCCAACCATGATGGGTATATAATTTATAATATTATTTGGACCTTAACTTAAATAAAAATGGTAAGTATGAAGTTTTCTGACTTTTGAGGCTGTGGCTGTAACTGTGAATTAGGCAACAATTAATATTGTTAATTTAGTTGTTGATTAGATTTTACTTATAATAAACCTTATTAATTTATAATAAATTACCCTAAGTTTTTAGAGATACAAATCAAAAGTAAAGGTGAAGCCTGGCAGTTGGTACTGCACACCTTTAATCCCAGCACTTGGGAGGCAGAGGCAGAGGCAGGTGGATCTCTGTGAGTTGGAGGCCAGCCTGGTCTACAGAGTGAGTTCTGGGACAGGCAGGGCTACACAGAGAACCCTGTCTCGAAAACCAAAAATAAAAAAGTGAAATGATTTGACAGTGGAATTTTAAGGTGTTTGGGGGAAAACATGGTAGTTACCAGGAAAAAATAGCCAAAACCTATGGTTGCTATACTGCAACATGGGATAGGGATGGGGCTCATTGCCCATCCTCTGTGCTCTGTATACAGACGGAAACTCTCAAAGGGAAAGATCACCCACGCAGCTCATGCTTGCAATCCTAGCAACCGAGAGGCTAAGAGAGATTATTCAAGTTTCAAGCCAGCTGGGGCTACTTGCAAGCAGAGAGAGAGAAGATAGGCAGGGTAATTTGAAGGGTTGAAGGTAAAGATATTTTTTCAGCGTTTTGTGAAACAGAATAAGGAATTACCACTATAATTTTTCATCAACTAAGAAATAACGGTTCATGGATACTGCAGCATTTAATTACTTCAGGGGTTTAAGGAAATGAAAGGTGGGCTTAAATACAATGGGATCGTTGACTGCCACTGCCATACAAAGAAAGAAAGAAAGCAGTTTAGAAAGTTTAGTTTTGGCAGGATATAATGAAGTGCTTTCATTTGTATTAAAGAATTTGGGTAGAGATCAGGGATAAAGACGAGTGTGAGACTGCTGTACATTTATGAAAGGATCTCACTGACAGCGCCACTCTGCCCTGGTAAGCTTGTGGAAGGAGGAATTGTAAATGGCTTTCTAGGACAGAGAAGAGAAAGCACAAGTTTTTATTGATCCTCGGTTTTTGTTCATTGTGAACTGAGTGACTTTCATCGGGCATGTTCTGTTGAGAGAAATAAATGTTTGGATAAAATTGGCTTTCTCAAGAGTCAAGCTCCCCCGGTTTCTCTCCATAAAGGAGATGCAATAAATAGTCTCTACACTTACCTACCAAGCAAGAATAGTCTCTGGGCTTATCTCCCGAGCAACAGTTGGTGATTTGAGTTTTGATTTTTCAGCTAGAATTTCAAAGTAAAGGTTCAGGAAAAAAATGACTACAGAAGCGAAGTCAACAGAAAGACACCTGCACATCTGAGGTTGTCACAAATGTGTGGCGATGACTCTACAAATTAACTACGAACATGCCTTTAAGCAATAAGCTATCCTCGTGGTCAAATAACAGACTGGGTCACATAGAAGACACAGTGAAGACTTAGACATTTTGTTTAATGTGACTCTGATGAGCCAAATGATGCCGAAATTCAGACCACCCATTTCCATGAACATTTCATAAAGGCCCTGTTCCAAAAACTTCATGAATGTTAATACAGGACCCATCAAAAAAGCAATGGATCCATTATGAAATCAGTATTAAAAAGTAAACAGGAAAAAAACTGTTGCCACAACAAGACCACCTTAGCGGATCCAAGCAAGATGAACACAGTGAATGCCCTTGGGCATCCCTTCATCTCTTTAGTAGTAATCTAGGACTTTGCTAACCCATTTCGTCCAGGACCATCAATATTTATGGATAGCACACTGCAGGCTGGCTATGAATGGGTTCTTTCTACATAGACTGGTAAACACAGCAATAACCTGCTAGCCACATGGGACCCTACACAGACAGTATTTCTGGCTTTGCCAAAATATTCAAATTCTCTTTAGTCTATTTCAGGCCACATTTCTTTATTCTCTACTTATTACGAAGACATGCATTTTTAAGTAAAGAGCACAAGTCAAAATATCTTTCAGTGTCCATATTATCAAGTAAATAAGCAAACTACAGAGCTGTATAAATCTATAAAGTTGTTAGTATAAAAAAGTCATAGATTCCTCTTTGGCCTCAGCAGCAGAAGATGACAAAAGGGACGGCATCTTTTGGAAAATATCACAAGTAAAGATGCACACGTTGGGCCACTGCTGTGGCCCCCAGCTCCAAAAGTCAACCTGTGGCAAATGTGGCTACCGCGCCCAGTGCGGAAGTATAACTAGAGTGCCAAGGCTAAGAGACGGAACACTGCCAGGACAGGGCGGTGAGGCCCTTAAAAACTGTCTATTGAAGACTCACACGTGGATTCCGTGAAGGGACAACACCTAAACCCAAGAGAGCAGCTGTTGCAGCATCCAGTGCATCTTGAGGGCTTCAATCGGTCACAAAATAAATGTTCTGGTTTCAAAAAGTGGTGGCACACACTTTTAATACCAGCACTCGGGAGGCAGAGGCAGGTCGATCTCTGTGAATTTGGAGGCCAGCCTGGTCTACAGAGCGAGTTCCAGGACAGACAGAGTTGTTACACAGAGAACCCCATCTCAGATAGATAGATAGATAGATAGATAGATAGATAGATAGATAGATAGATAGATTCACAGATTCAGGAATCATGCTGTATGGCGAGTATGGTGAAACACACTAGAATGTGTTAACTACCCCGGACTGGTAATTAGTACTCTCTGATAGGGATCCCTTCTCCACGCCACTGCAGGGGCAGAGGCGTGATGGGTGATTTGTGGAACAATAGCTATGCAACGCATTTCAGTCCCGTCTGGTCCCCTCTTCTTCACATAAGCCTATCCAGAAGAGAAGAGACACTACAGTCACTTCAGACTGCCACAGCAAGCATGAAATCTGGCCGAGACTGGATGGGGGAAGCCATCCAAGTCACAGCTGGAAGGTGATAAGCTACAACATATGCCAAGTGACTTCTCCATCTGGCTTCATCAGAAATAAAGTTGGGATCGCCTCTCCCCTTGTAGTCTCATTTCGTCTTCCTGTCACCCAGCTCCTTAGCCCCACTGGATGGCATATGATCTCCTAACATCTGGATTGTGCTGGCAGCAGCTCAAGTGTCTCCACTAGCCATGCCATATCCCTGGGTTCTCAGTACCTGCTTTCCCTCACCAAGAGCAGAAGTCTGCACCCAGCAGCAGGCTCTTATTATGGCAGTCACCTCGAGCTCCTGAGATTTAACCTCCTTGTCGCCTCTTTATCTGAGAGAACTCACTGATGCCCCTCAGACAAAGGCAAAAAGGCCTTTTCCTAGCAAGAGACCAAGTTTTGTAGCAAGAGACTAAACTTTAGTCCAGATCCCCAAAAGATAAAAGAAGAAAGGCTTTTGACCCTACCTCTTCTGAAAAACAGCTCAAGTTATAATTTTAATTGAATTTTATTTATTTTTTTAATTTTTTGAAAATTTTATTCATGATTTATACAGTGTTCTACCTGTATGCACTAGATCTCATTAAAACAGCTGTGAGCCATGATGTGGTTGCTGGGAATTAAACTCAGGAACTCTGAAAGAGCAGCCAGTACTCCTAACCTCTAAGCCATCTCTCCAGGCCCCTGTTTATTTGGTTTTTCAGGACAGGGTTTCTCTGTGTAGCCCTGGCTCTCCTGGAACTCACTCTGAGGACCAGGCTGGCCTCAGACTCACAGAGATCCACCTGCCTCTGCCTCCCAAGTGCTGGGATTAAAGGTGTGTGCCACCACTGCCCGGCTTAAATTTTATGTGTATGAATGTTTTGCCTACATGCATCTGTGAGATCAAGAGGGTAACAGATCCCCTGAAATGTGGAGAGTTAAGAAGATTGGGAACCAACACGTGGTTGCTGGGAATCATACTCAGAGCTAGCAAAAGTGCTCACTGAGCCTCTCTACAGACCATTGGGGTGGGTAGTTTTTTAAGACAGGTTCTCTCTAGGTAGCCCTGGCTGTCTTGGAACTCAGTACAGCCTCAAACTCACAGAGATGCACCTGCCTCTGCTTCCCAAGTGCTGGGATCAAAGGTGTGTGCCATTGTGCCTGGCTTCCTTTCTCAAAAAAAGTCAGAAAAAGAAGTTATTTCTAGGGGCAAACACATTTCCTTACATGTACCATACCTTTTATCCTGGTCTTCTTGGGTGTCGCTTGCTTTGCTCACAGACAGAAGTCGCTTGTCTCGAGGAACCTGGAAATCAGCAGTAAACCATCAGACTTCCTGACCACATGCAGAGACAGACACCAACACAAGCAAATAAGCAACTTTCTGAAGAAGTGGGTTATTTGGGGAAACGATTAAGGGTGAGTAGCTTGAGTGGAAGCAGGGACAAAGGGGGGGACCAGCACAGGTTCTTTGCTAACCGTGATTCAGCTTACCCAGGAGATGCTCCTATGTGTCCCAGCCTTAGGAATGGGTGAGGCAAAGAGCCATCTGTTTGGGATGAAGATGGGCATGAAAAAAGCAGCCCGCTGAGGAACAAGGAATAAGCTTGCTTTCTGGAGCTGGACACTGGGTGCTGACAAAGAGCTTGGGGCGGATCCCGGGCTGGGGCCTGACAGTTCAGCTAGTCTGATAAGGAGCATCTAATAGGCGCACTAACCATTGCCTAGGAAGCTTGCCTCCAATCTTTCTAATCTTCTCATTCTATGAACAATACCAACATATCACACATCATTGCAAAGTCCTCTGAGTCTGTGCGGTGGTGGTATACGCCTTTAAGCCCAGCACTCAAGAGGCAGAGGCAGGCAGATCTCTGTGAGTTCGAGGCCAGCCTTGTGTACAGATAAGAGTTCCAGGATAAGCTTCAAGAGGTACACAGAAACCCTGTCTTGAACCTCCAACAACGCTCAAAAAAAAAAAAAAGGAAGGAAGGAGGCCTGGAGAGATAGCTCAGTGGTTAAAAGCACTGGTTACTCTTCCAGAGGACCCAGGTTCAATTCCCAGTACCCACATAGCAGCTCACAACTGTCTATAACTCCAGTTCCAGGGGAATCTGACACCTTCACACCAATGCACATAAAATAAAGTTAAATAAATTCTATTAAAAAAAAAAAAAGGAAGGAAGGAGGGAAGGAAGGAGGAAGGAAGGAAGAAAGGGAGGGAGGGAGGAAATGAGGGAGGGAGGAAATGAGGGAGGGAGAGAGGGAGGGAGGGAGGGAAGGAAGTCCTCTGAGAGAAGGGAGACTCCACCATCTCCAAACATGTGAGTAAATGGTTTGGATTTGGTTGTGCTGGTAGATTCTTTTGCATTTGCTTTTGGCCTAGTTCATTTGTGCCTAACCTTGAAGAGGTTCTTCTTAGCCAATGGTATCACGGTTTTGAGATAAACACACAGAAGGAAACATCCTTCTACTAGAGTCTTCTAGGAATCCCTGTTTTTTCCACTCAGCCAAATACATCCACAAGCTGAGATGGCTGAACTAGGAAAGTGGTAAAAGAATTTGACCACCCATGCTCAAGCCTAAGCCAAACTCAGTCCCATCTGAAAACTGGACCTCATGGTAATTCTAAACTCAAAGGTCTGTAGTGCTGCAGTACTTAGGAGAAGCTCGTGCTTAATGCACATAAACCAACTCTAAGTCTCCATTCAGAGATGTTGGGGTAAGCACTCTTGCTGCCTACCTCCTTGCATGATGTCCTTTGCCATGTCACTATGCTTAAGGCGGCCCTGGCCAGTCACCAGTGTCATGTTCTTAGATGCCCCATCCTCCAGAATCATGAGTAAAACAGTTCTACACTTTATAAAGAATCTGAGGTACTGAGAAACAGCAAATGGACTCAGACACAAGTTATACAATTCTTAAAGTATTCATCTAATTTAATCTGCTATATTTTTCATACGTATCTAAAATGTATGGAAAGGACTATTCTTAACTTTGGAGCTACTATTGCTAAGTGGCTTACACTGGATGGATAGCCACATGAATTTCAGTGCCTAACATATGAGAGTGAGATGGTATAAATTTAGGGTCTTTTACAGTATTGTTTAGTTAGTGAACAATTAATTTAATTAAATATTAATTTAAATGCAAAATTTTAAAAATTGAACCATTTTTCAAATTTTAAGAGACCAGGCTGGGCTCAAACTCACAGAGATCCTCCTGTTTCTGCCTCACAAGAGCTGGGATTAAAGGCATGCACCACCACCACCTGGCTTAATACTTCTTTGTTTTTTCGAGTTTTTCTGTTTTGTTTTGTAGTCTGTTTTTTTCAAAACAGGGTTTCTCTGTGGTTTTGGAGGCCGGCCTGGAACTTACTCTGTAGCCCAGGCTGGCCTCAAATTCAGAGATCCATCTGCCTCTGCCTCCCGAGTGCTGGGATTAAAGGCATGTGCTACCAATGCCAAGCGGCTTAATACTTCTTTTAAAGCCTTCTAAAACTATTAATTGTCATACTGGTCATAAAAGTCAGAAGAAGAAATTATCTTGACCTGAATACTCAAAACAGGAACATTTGAATGATGTGTCAATTGATTTTTTTTCTTAATTGTTAAAACCGTCAAATTTTTACTATTTGTCTGCAATAAGGGAATATTGCTTATTGATTTCTCTCTGAGCAACAGACTGAAAATAAACAAAAGTAACACCGAGTGCTCCCGGAATGGTCTAGGCTGGGAAATGACCCTAATTTAGTGACTTCTCTGTCTCTGTACCATTCTCTATGCACTTCAGCATGCTTCCATTCCAGAAGACTTCAGAGCTATTCCAGTGTTTTATTTTCTCACCCCACCCCCATAGAATTTCACGGTGTAGCTCTGGCTGTGCTTGAATTCTATGTGCAAAACCAGGCTAGCCTTGAACTCAGAGATCAGCTGGCCTCTACTTTGAGATTCCAGCTTCTTTTCTGCAGGTATAAGCCTGCCCAACCTTTACTGCATGCTGTCTGTCATCCAAAGCCCAAATCCCCCAGAGGCAAGGCACTTCCTGACACATCAGGAGCCACAGTGGCATCTTTAAACCTTCCAAAACAGGTTACCAGCATCTGCCAACACATCCTTTCCGGCTAAGGAAAGCCGGGCTATACCAGCAAAACTCCCACTGAGAACCTGGCACTTCATAACAATACATGATGCCTGGATGGGCACAGCCATACATCCCTCACGCCTGTCCCTCACACCTTGCTGTCTTAGATAAGACAATGGGAAGCAGAGACCCAAGGTCAAATTGTTCTTCTTGATGGTTCTAACCAAAACTGATTCCCCACAAGTGAAGGAGAAAGAATGGGAGGTGGGAGCTAGTTTGACTATGCTAAACTTAAACAAAAAGGCATCTCCACCACACTGCCAACTCCCAGCATCCGCTAAAGGCATCTCCAGCCACAGCAACCAATCGTACTCCCTATTTGCTAAATAAGGCTCATTGACCTTTTACACTTCAACAGTTCTCAGAGAGTGGGCCATAACTCTTTACACTTATAACCCACCATTGTTTCTCGTCTAACTTCCTGAGATGCCTGTACTTCAAAACTACTGTCTGGCCAGTATTTCTTCTGATGTTCCGGTCAGTTTTAAGGACTTTTTCAAAATGAAAACAGATGGAGACAGTTAGGTCTGGAATCGCTGCAAGTCCCTCACCAATGCACTCACGGGAATGATCACCAGAAAACAGAGACATCCAGGGTGCTCAAATGTCTCTTATTAAAGAAACAAGTAAATGCTGGCAGCTGACAATGACTAACCATGACATAAAGCAAAGCTCCTAACCATAAAGTAAAATGACAGAAGGGGAATAAGTAATGCTGCAGCTGTAGGGGTCCACCGCCCTCTTCTGACTTCTGTAGACCCCCCCCCACAGAGAGAGAGAGAGAATATATAGATACTTTTTTTTTAAAGAAATAAGTATTTCCTAATTTAAACTTTTGAGTGGGAATAGAGCTGGGTTTTATTAGGGGGTGGGGAGTAGGGAATAGAGATAACACAAACAGGAGAATTCCACCTCCATCCACAGACCTGGAACAAAGAACCCATCCCACTTGCTTGGGGGGAAATGGGCCCTGGAGGCAGGGAGAGGAGGGAGGCTGGTCCAGGACCCACCTTGTAGTAGTCATAGAGAAGGCCCAGGGCGGCAGCGCTGTCCTCGTCACCATTGATGCTCATCATAGCCTTGGTGGCCGCAGTCAGGGGGTTCTCCAAGTATGACTTCCAGGCTTCATCCTCGCTGGTGTAGGCTCTCCGGGTACTGAAGGGAGGGTCACTGGGCATGGGCACTAAGGCCACTAGTCTTTTGTTACTGTAAGAACAAGAAAAATGCCAGACTCATTATCAGGGAACTTTGCATTTTTTCCCTGATACTATACCCGTCTTGTGGTTACACGGATTTGTGTTCCCCTACAGAAAAGCAGCTTAGGACTGCAATGGCTGCCCGCTGCACTTAGGAATACTCAGCTTACATCTTCACTGAGCATGAAGAGTGGTGATGACTTTTATACAGGGCAGCGTAGGGAAAGGCCTCAGTGATCATGGTGCTGACTGCTCTTCCCAGACCCAGGTTCAGTTCTCAACACCCATCTGTAACTATAGCAAGCAGTCACTCTGTAGCCTCCTCAGGAACTCCACTCACATGGCACATATAAGCACATAAATCCCCTCAGACACTCAGACAGACAGACAGACACACAGACACACACAACACAACACAAAGGCAGTGGTGGTACAAGCTTTAATCCCAGCACTCAGGAGGCTGGTTTGATCTCTGTGAGTTCAAGGCCAGCCTGGTCTATAGAGTTCCAGAACAGGACAGGCTCCAAACGCTACAGAAAAAACCCTGTCTGGAAAAATAAAAACAAACAAAAGAAAAGGTTTTTGTTTTGTTTTGTTTTGTTTTTGTTTTATTTTATGGCTAGATCGTGACACTCTCCTTAAAACTTGGTTTTCTGTATCTAATCATTCTGAACAATTTAATTATTCTTCATTAATGAAAACTAGAAAGGAAGCCTGTAAGAGTAATTTTCCTTAAACTAAATTCTAATTTCAAACATTAGTTACATAAAATCAATAGGTTAATGAGTGAAATAGTCTTTTCAAATTTAATCTTGCTTGAAGTTCCTAGGAAATTATAGACCAATCTAAATCACTTAGTAAGAAGCGCAACATAAGCTACTTGGCAAACACAACACAATAATACGGGTGACACTGTGCAATGAGCCATGGAGGGGTGTGATGAGACGAGCCCTACATAGGAATCCCTTTTGCTATAGATTCTACTGGGTTAAGATGATTCGGAAGCATTAGGTTAGGAATGAGGAGACTAAGGGATGCCTGGGGAATTTCTCCAAGAGACAGTGAGTGCTAACCAGGTCAACCTTGTGCAGAGCAGCACAAAGGCAAAGTCTATGGCAAATGTGACAATGACAAATATCCAAAGACCATGACAGTCCTCTGCAGCTCCCCATGGAGGAACCCAAAGACACAGTAACAGAGTCTAGAGAAACAGTCACTAACTTCTTGGCCCTTTTTTCTTATTCATTGAAAGGGAACCAAAGCGGAACAATGATGGGGATGTCCTTTTGTATGTATGTTTCTCCTACTGGTTGGTGAATAAAACACTGTTTTGCCAACAGAGGCAGAAAGATAGGTAGGACTAGGAGATAAGGAGAATGGGGGGGGGGGGAGCAGAGAGGTGCCAGGAGAGACAACATGTAGAGACCGGGAGGAAAGGATGCACGAGGCATTCTCTGGTAAGATAGGGCCTTGTAGAAATCCATAGATTAGTAGTTATGGGTTAATAATTAAGACAGAGCTAACCAGTAAGAAGCCCTAACCATCAGTCAACAGTTTTATAAATAATATAAGTCTCTGTGTTTTTATTTGGGGTCCAAGGGCAGTGAGACCAGGTGGAAAAGAACCTCCAGTCACAGAACGACACTGTATTCAAGCAACACCTACAGTCACCTAACACAGATAGGTGGTAACAACAACAATCAATGAAAGTTGAGCCACCAAGACCTTCTGGTGGCCATCAAGTTCCAAAGACGGCCCCTTACAATCTCCTGACAGTCAGTGTTGTTGGCTCACTTTGTGATGGAGGCCGGGTATGAACTTCTAAGGAGCAGTGCACTATTAAAGGTCCTTTGTGTGGTGACACGGAGCCGTACATTCTGCGGGGTCCAAAAGTGACAATTGCGTTGAGAGAATATATTTGAGATGGACTGGCACGGGTGGGCATAGCATTTTGTGACAGTCTCCAGGCCTCTGCTTTGAGCTCTCTGTGGCGGAGCTTCATAGAAGTCACTAGAAAGAACACTGACTCTATGAAGTGAGAAAATGCCTGCTAATGAAGAGCTGCTGTGGTGACAGAGGGACACGGGCTCTGGAGGCCAAGTGCTTGTTCAGGAGCCCACTGTGACGGAGAACTGAGTGATGCCTGTGTCTTTTTCTCCTGTCTTAAGTAGGGTTAGCCATGCCTGCCTGTCTCACACTATCGTGCAAATCACTGATAACTGGGCCCTGGGAGGATGCAGTGCTGAGAATAAATGGCATTGCTACCAGCATACTCGGCAGGGTTCCTATCAGTTTCTGTACCTTTCAGGCTTCATTGAAGTTATAATTTATGAATAGTAAAAAATTACCACCAATTCCATAGGATTTGTTGAGGGTCCAACAGGTGACACTTGTGCTATTGAACACGAAGCCATGTACAGGACTGCCACTGTCACCCACAGGGTCTAGCCAAAGCCTGGAGAGCCACCTTGCAGGAGTGAGGAGTATGAGAAGGAAATCCAGGACAGAAAGACAAGGAGATACCTGCTGATCCTTGATGACAGAGGCAGAGGAAGCATTTTATTTTAAACTAATAATATTTCATCATTCAGAATGTATTATTCTTATAATAGAAGTATGTTTATATTCATTCTGGAAAGACCAATAAGGGGAAAAAACTTTTTTTTGGTTTGTTTGTTTGTTTGTTTTTGTTATTTTTCTAGACAGGATTTCTCTGTGGCTTTGGAGACTATCCTGGAACTAGCTCTTATAGACCAGGCTGGTCTCGAATTCACAGAGATCCGCCTGCCTCTGCCTCCCGAGTGCTGGAACTAAAGGCATGTCCCACCACTGTCCAGCCAAAACTTCTCTTTTTCTTAAAAAGCAAAACAAGCTTCTGTAAAGCAAAGAACATGGTCAACAAGGCAAAATGGCTCCCTACAGAATGGAAAAAGATCTTCAACACCCCCACATCTGACAGAGGGCTGGTCTCCAAAACATACAAAAAACTCAAGAAACTAGACATCAATCTACTAAATAATCCAATTTAAAAATGGGGTACAGATCTAAACAGAGAATTCTCTCAACAGAACAAACTCAAATGTTGGAAAGACACTTAAGGAAATGCTCAACACCTTTAGTCATCAGGGAGATTCCGTCTTACACTGATCAGAATGGCTAAAATAAAAAACACCAATGACAGCTTATGCTGGAAAGGATGTGGAGAAAGGGGAACATTCCTCCATTGCTGGTAGGAGCCCAAACTTGTACAGCTGCTGTGGAAATCAGAATGGCAATTTCTCAGAAAATTAGGGATCAATCTACCTCAAAGACCCTGCAATACCACTGTTGGACACATACCCAAAGGAGGCGCATTCACACCACAAGGACACTTGCTCAACTATTATTTGTAATAGCCAGATCTTGAAAACAACCTAGATGCCCTTCAACTGCAGAATGGATAAAGAAAATGTGGTATATTTCCACAATGGAGTACTACTCAGCATTAAAAAACAACGAAATCCTAAAATTTGCAGGCACATGGATAGAACTAGAAAAAAAAATTTAAAAAACCTCCTGAGTAAGATAACAGAAAACCAGAAAGACAAATATAGTATGTTCTCACTCATGAGTGGAAACCAGACATAAAACAAATGATACGCAGCCTACAATCCATAACCCCAGAGAAGCTTGAACCCTCTTCCAGAAACAGATGGAAGCAGATGCAGAAATTCACAACTAACGAATGGGCCAAGCTCCTGGAGTAAAATCAATGTGACGGAGGAGTAATAATAAGAACAAAGGAATCAAGACCATGATGGGGAAACCCACAGAATCAGCTGACCCAAGCTAGTGAGAAATCACTGACTCAGATCTGACAAGTCAGGAACCTGCAGAAGACCAAACTAGACTCCCTTAATATAGGTGACAATGGTGTGACAGGGACAGTATATGAGGCCACGCGCAGTGGGTCCAAGACCTAACACTAATGCACAAACTGACTTAGTGCAGCCCATTCTATATGGAGAGATACCTTGCCCAGCCTAGACACAGGGGTATGGGGGGTGGAGAGATGCCTTCATCCTGCCTCAACAAGATGATGGGATACTTAGTAGACTTCCTAGGGGGAGACCTTACCCTCTTTAAGAGGCAGATGGGAGGTGGAGGGGAGTGGGGAGAAGCAGGAGGAGGAGGGAAAGGGAACTGGGATTGGAATGTAAAAAATAAATAAAAGCAAAACAAATCCAAAGCATTTCCACTTTGTAGAAAATGACTGATGGCAGAATGTAAATTATACGTGCAGGCTTGGAAGGTTCTTCAGAAGCAATGACCTGGGGTAGAAGCCCAGAGAACTGGGGTCCCAGGCTGTGATGGTGCCACCCTCCCCAACCAGTTTATTTTGGCTACCCTTGTGTATATTTTCACTCAGAGAGTGGGACAAAAAAAATGAAGTCATTCTCAAGAGTCACTGAGTGCAGCGAAGACTCAGAAAAAGGTTCCAGAATTCAAACATTGAGGCATGGTTTCGGGTGTGTCTTCCATTTGCACCATCGTAAGGAAGAAAACTCTAAGGTTAAAGTATCATATCCTAGAAAGCCATGTCTGCAATAGCCTACCATAGGAAGGAATAAACTGTGAGGGCAAATCCTATTTCATTCTTCAGAAGCTACACACAGTCTTTCTGATGCAGAACACCGTAAAATGAAGTTTGAGCTGAGAAACGGCACCATCTCTGTGATAAGCTGAGAAGAAAAATGTAGTTACTACTACAGAGAAATTAAAGTGCGTAGAACAGCATTTGCCAGCTAGAAATGTTCTTTTCTGGTGTGTGTGTGTGTGTGTGTGTGTGTGTGTGTGTGTGTGTGAAATCCTAATGAGTTTTACAACCATTCCCTGTGAAAGACAACTCAGTCAATTTTATCGAGACTCCTCTCTGAAGCCCTGGCAGGCTTGGAACTATCGTGAACTCAGAGCTCCACCTGCCTCTGCCTCCAATCTGCTGGGATTAAAGGTGGTACCACCAACACCTGG